TCTGTAATTTTCTTTCTTTTCTTTTTTTTTTTTTTTTTGGTATGTCCTGGTCTGTTCAGGGTATCGGGGTAATAGAGGCTTAATAGAATGAATCAGGGAGGGTTCCTTCCTATTAGAGTTTTCAAAATAGTTTGAGGAGAATTGGGATTAGTTCTTTAAAAGTTTTGTAGATATCAGAGTTGAAGCTATTGGGCCTAGACTTTTCTTTGTTGGGAGATTATTTTTTACAGATTAAATCTCATTGCTTGTTGCTGGTCTATTCAGGCTCTCTGTTTCTTCCTGAGTCAGTCTTGTCCATCTCATCTAGGTTTTCTTGTTTGTTGACATATAATCACTCATAGTATTCTTTCATGATCTTGTGTATTTCTATTCTGTCTAGTGTAATATAACCTGTTTTATTGATGATTTGATTGATCTGATTCTTTTCTCTGTTCCTCTTAATTAATGTAATAGTGTGTCATTTGTTTATTTTTATCAAATAACCACTTTTTAATTTTATTTGTTTTTCTATTTAATTCCTTTATTCTCTATTTCATTTCTTTCTGCTTAAACTTTTATTATTTCTTTTCTTCTGGTAATTTTTTGTTGTTGTTGTTGCTTTTCCAATTTCTTGAGATTTCTCATTAGGTTGTCTATTTGTCACCTTCCTGTTTTTTTTTTTTTTTTCTTGTGGGCACTAATTGCTTTGAACTTCCCTTTTATGACTGCTTTTGCTGTGTCCCATGGGTTATAAAAACTCACTTGCTCATTATCATTGGTTTTAATGAATGTTTTTATTTCAGTCTTTATTTCTTCAGTGGTTGTAAAGTCATTCAGGAATAGGTTGTTTAGTTTCTGTAAGTTTGTATGTATTTTCAAGGGTTCTTTTCTTAGTTGATTTCAAGCTTGATTCTATCATGTTCAGAAAAGATGTTGGATATAGTTTCTATACCTTTGAATTTGTAAAGGCTTGTTTCGTGCCCTATCATGTGGTTGATCTTTAAAAACATTCCATGTGGGTGAGAAAAATGTGTGTTTTGTGGTTGTTAAATGAAATATTCTATAGACATCTCTCAAGTCTATTTGATTTATGATATTATTTAGATCTTATATCTTTTTGTTTATTTTTTGTCTGGATGATCTGTCCAGAGGAGGCAGTGGGATGTTAGAGAACCCCAATGATTACTGTGTTACAGTCTATCTCTCTCTTTAGATCTAACAGTCTCTATTTCACATATTTGGGTGTTCCAGTGTTGGGTGTGTAAATATTTATAAATGTAATATCTTCTTTATGAATCAGCCCTTTTAGTGCTATATAATGCCCTTCTTTTTCTCTTCTTACAGCTTTTGTCTTGAAGTTTATTTTATCTGATATCAGTATCGTGACTCTAGTCTTTTTTAAAAAAATTTCCATTTGCATTAAATACCTTTTAGAAGCATTTCATCTTCAGACTATATATCTTTATCAATCAAATGTCTTTGTTATAAGCAGCATATAGAAGGCTCTAGTTTTCTTTTTTTTAACCCATTCACCCAATCTTTGTCTTTAACATTCAATGTTATTATCAATATTTGTGAACTTATCCCTTTCATTTTGTCAGCTATTTCTTGGTCATTTTTTGTTTGATTATTTCTGTTCATCTCTCTTTAGTTTTTCTTGTATAATATTCCCATCAACACTTCTTGTAGAGTTAGTCTAGTATTGGTGAATTCTTTCAATACTTGTTTATATGAGAATGATTTTATTTGTTCTTCCCATTCAAGGGATAATCTTGCCAGGTATTGTATTCTTGGTTAAAATTATTTTTCTTTTAATATTGTGACTATATCTTTTCATTCTTTCCTTGTCTGCATTGTTTCTTTTCTTTTCTTTTTCTTTTTTGTTTTTTTGAGAGGTTTTCGTTATAGGGCACGTGTGCTCGCCAGCCAGACAGAGAGAGACAGAGAGACAGAAAGCGAGAAATCACCCCCAGGGAGGATGGTCATGCCGCAATCTCCTCCATTCTCCTCTCGGGATCTTGGGCACGCACACACATGCGCCCAGTGTGAGTTTTAAGCCACCGGGTCCTGGACACGAACCGCAGTCGACTACATGGGAGTCCAGCGACATAGCCATTACACTAACTGCTGGTTCCCTGCATTGTTTCAATTGAGAGATCTGATGTTAGCCTAGTAGGATAAACTTTTTAAGTAACTTGACATTTTTCTCTTGCCATTTTTAGAATCTTATCTTTATCTTGATTTTTACCAGTCTGGTTAAGATGTGCTGGGGGAAGATCTTTTTATGCTGATTCTGTTTGGGCTTCTTTTTTATTTCTCAGGTCTGAATTACTTTTTGTCTTTACAGATTTTGAAAATTTTCACACAGTATTTCAAGGAAGAGGTGTTCCATGACTTTATCAGCTTCTTCGCCTTTTGGAATAACCGCTAAGTGAATTTTAAATGTTTAATGGTATCTAGAATTTACCAAATGTTATCCTAATTTCTTTGATTATTTTTTCATTCTTTTCTGTGTTTTGGTCTTTGTTTGAGACTTTATATTCGAGGTCAGAAATTCTTCTGCATAGTCAAATCTGCTTTTAATGAGAGAGAATTTAATTCCCTATAATTTATTATTCATTTACAGGAATTCTGTTTAATTCTATTTTAGGGTTTCTATCTCTTAATGGACTTCCTCCTTCATGTCCTGGAATGATTTCCTCATTTTTGGAATTGGTTGTCTGTTTTTTCTTGCATTTCTTTGAGTTTTGTTGCTAAGAATGTTTGGAACTCTTTTTCTGACATTTCTGTGAATTCTTTCATGTTCTCCATTGTTGGTGAGGGGTCATTGTGCTACCTAGAGGAAGAGTTATTTCCAGGTCTTCTCATTTTTAGTCTGCCTCTTCACTGTTTTTTAGTAATCAGATGCAAAATAACTTCTTCCTATTTATTGGAGACTATTTGGTAGTATCAGAGCAGTAAATATCACCTTTAGTTCTATGTGTGATCCTATTACAAGGCTGTGTCTTCCAGATCAGAGCAGATAAAGTTTGCATAGCTAGATTCAGGTAGTTGGCTCTTCTGTGAAATTTTCCCTTCTGATGAACTGAGGATATGCTACAGAGATATGACTTAGTGAAGCTGTTCAAGTTGCAAATTGATGCAGGTTAGAGGGCCCTGAGTTCCCATGGCAAATCCCAGCAAAGGTGGTTGGGGGCTGGCACTCAGAAAGAGAGGCCTGCTGGAACCAAAATCAAAGTCTCTTGGTGGATAACTGAGAAATAGGTCATTAGAGTGTAGCCAATGTGCCCCAACCTGAAATAAAAATCTGGAAGGTGAGGCAGGACTCATGAGAAGAGGCCTGATGTATTTCTATTAAAATCTTTAGTATTTCTTTTCTTTCTTTCTTTTTTTTTTTTTTTTTGAGAGGTTTTTTGCTATAGGGCTCATGCGCTCGACAGACAGACAGAGAGAGACAGAGAGACAAAAAGCGAGAAATCACCCTCTAGAGGAGATGGCCATGTCGGCCATTCCGCGCTCGGGATCTTCGGCACGCACGCACACGCGCCCAGCATGAGTTTAAGCCACCAGGTCTGGGACTTGAACCGTGGTCGACACATGGGAGTCCAGCAACATAGCCATTACACTAACTGCTGGTCCCAAGTATTTCTTTTCTCTCTCTCTCTCTCTTTTTTTCCAATACCTTAATATGCATCATTAGTTTGTCTATTTGCCACCTTTCTGTTATTTTTTTTTCAACGTGGGCACAAAATGCTATAAACTTCTCTCCTATGACTGAATTTGCTGTGTCCCACAAGTTATGAAAAATTGTTTGTTTGTTGTCATTGGTTTCAGTGAATCTTTGATCTCATTCATCATTTCTTCAGTGGTTGTGAAGTCATTCAGGAATAGGTTGTTCAGCTTCCTTGTGTTTATTTATTTTTAAATACATTTTTAAAATTTAAATAAAGGCAGTTTTAGCTTTAATAAATCAAAATTTAAAAAGTTAAGAGAACTTTGCTCAATTCTTAGAGTTAAGAAACAGGTTAGGATTCTGTTCAAATAGTAGGTACATGGACCTGTCCACAACTCAAGAGAAGACAAAACTCCTTAATACTGGGAAACAAACCATGGAAGGTCAGTAATGTTTTAGTCACAAGACATAAAATTCTATTTCACTAGTTCAAGCTCATGTATTTTATCTTGTGTTGTGGTCCAATCTTTCCGTTCAAATTGTAGAAGATAATTTTCAACTCTGGACTTGTGTGTACCATTAAGTTGACCATTTTCTTAGCTGTTTTAGAACTCCTATTTGTGTGTGTCTGACTTTAGTTTTCCTGGGATAGCACTCTTTTCAGAACTTCTTGGAGAGCTGATCTGGTATTGGTAAATTCTTTCAGGTTTTGTTTGCCAACACCTGAAAGTGTTTGTTTATTTTTGAAGATTCTTTCTGTAGTTATTTTCAGTTAAATTCTACTGTGGTCAGAATAAATGCTAGATGTAGTTTGTAAATATTCGAATTTGTAAAGTTTTCATTTTTGCCCTTTCATGTGGTCAGTCCTTGAAAATGTTCCATGTAGGGGTTAAAAAAATATGTATTTTGTGGTTGTTGGGTGAAATGTTCTATAGATGTCTGTCAAGTCCATTTGATTTATGGTATCATTTAGATCTTGTATCTCTTCATTTATTTTTTTTTTGTCTAGATGATCTGTTCAGAGGAGGTAGTAGGGTGTTGAGATCCCCAACAACTAGTGTGTTGCAATCTCTCTCTCCCTTTAAATCTAACAGTTTCTCTTTCACGTATTTGGGTATTCCTTTGTTGTGTACATATATTTTATGTGTTACATATTTTCAGTGAACTAACACTTTTAGTACTACCTAGTGGCCTTCTTTGTCTCTTCTTACAGCTTTCATCTTGAAGTCTATTTTATCTGGTATCAGTATCATGTCTCCAGCCTTTTTTGATTTCTATTTGCATGGTATATCTTTATCCAATCCTTCACTTTCAGTCTATGTATGTTTTATTAGTGAGGTGTGTTTCTAAAAATATAGAATGTTTCATGAATTTGTATGTCATCCTTGTGCAAGGGCCATGCTATTCTTCTCTGCATCTTCTCAAATTTATTTGTACACGTACTGCCAAAGTGAACGCAAAGCCAGTTATCTTAAAATTGGTTGTGGAGAAGGAGCATAAAGCTTAATCATAGCTTTAGATCCATATCTACTTTTCAAATTTATATTTGTTGTTGATAAATCTGATGACTTGAATCCGTGATGGCTTCTTGTACTCTTTCTCAATTCAGCAAAGTGATAAATATTTGCCATCTGAAATATCATTACCAAAATAGCATCTTAGAATGTTAGTTATTGAAAGCAATCTTTACCCTTATCTTGGTCGACTAATTTTTTGATAGTTAATGGCCAATACACCATACCTAGGTTACCAGTGAACCTCTGTTGAACATGTGCAATTGTGCAATTGTATGACTGTGTCTTAGTTCAAAATGGCTACTTGTATTTTGCCAAGTATTTCTTACTTTGGTTTATTTTTTTTTTAATTTCATGACTTTTATTGAAGCATTCTTCAGCTTGAAAATACATTATGTTCGCACAACTGCAACAGTTTAGATTTGCTGTGGAACATGTACTTACATAAAAAAAAACTTTCCAAATATTTCACAGTTTTATTGACTTTGGTTTATTTTTTAAATAGTATAGAAGCAGTATAACATAGTAGTTAAGAAACTGAACATTGGATCAGACACATTTGTAGCCCTGGGACTTTGAACATGGTACTCTTATACTCTATTAGTCACCATGTCTTTATTAATAAAATGTAGCTAATAGTACTTTCTTGGCAATGTTCTTATGAGGTTTACATTGGATCATATGTGCAAATCTCAAACCAGTTCCCAAATTAAGGAATCAAACAATGTTACTTCTCTTCATTTTCTTACCAGGCACCTTCATTTAGTAGGCTCACTTATTATGCAGTCCTATATAGTATATATTAATCTTCCTATGGGCTCTCATCAGAATTACCTAAGCTTGTGTTAGAAATGCAGACTCTTGGAACCAGCAGATTGCATAATGAATATGCTGCTGGACTCCCATTTAGTCGGCCAATGCTTCAAGTCCTGAACTCAGTGGCTTAAAATTTTCATCATGCAAGTGTGCATGCATGCTCAAAATATGAGAAGAAAGTGGAGGAAAAGGAATTGAAGTGTATACATCCCCCTTGGGTAGTCATTTCTTGCTTTCTGTCTCTCTGTCCTTTTCTGTCTCCCCAGAGAGCATATGCACCTTACAGCAAAAATCTCTCTGAAAAAAAATAATAATAAAGAAATGTAGACTCAGGCCCCACCCAGACCTACTGTGTTAGAATCTGCATATTATGAAAATATCCAGGTAAAACTTACGCATATTAAAGTGTGAGAAGCAGCGATCTAAATGACTATGTTATGCTGCTTTACTCTTTAAAAAAATACTAATCTTCAATAGAAGAAACTGGACCTTTGGAAGAGGAAAAAAGGCAGTGGCTGGGGAAGGTATGTAGCACTTTAATGAAGCCAATGATAGAGGAAGAAGATGGAATGAAACTGAAATTTAAAAGCAACACCAAAGAAGAGAGTGGTACAGGATTTATTTCTGAAAAGGGTGATAGCAGTACAATGAACTTGGAAATAGAATCAGCAGCAGCTCCAGATTCAAGCTTGATCACAGTACAAGTGGATCAGGGACAGAAATATATCACCTTATGCAAAGCAGCTGGGGGCCCTGCTGCCTTATGAGGTACCTAGGTAGCTTACCTGGAAATTGACTACTTCAACTGGAAATGTCTCAGAAGCTCCAGAAAAATGCAAAGGTTCTTTTGTGCTTCTGTATTCATTTTCCTTCTTGTTGTGTTCATGAGAGTTACTATCAAGCATAAGAGGACAGAAAAAGGAAGTCTTGTAAAGTAAAAGAAGCCAAAATAGAAAAGTGGAAGCTTTAGGTCTAATAGAAATTTCCTATTATCCTGGTCCTTGGCATCCATTTGGCAAAAAATTATGGTTATATAAATATATGTTTCTTGAAACAAGTAGACCATCACTCTGGGCTTGGAAATCTTTGTTAGACAGATTTTTTTTCATCACAATATTATTCAAACTATGGTTACTATGAGATATGACTTAAGCTAATCATTTGGTAAAGGGCAGGATTTGTATATGGAGTATACGAGCTGCTGTAATTGAATCATGGTAGGCTGTGAGTTTTGTCTGTAGTTGAAAATATTTGTACCTACCCTTCCATGTAGTCCAAGTAGGCAGTTATATATATATATATATATCTGGTTGCTAATAACAAAATTCTTTAACTAGAGGCTAAATATATTGTTCCTTAATGAGAGAAATGCTATGAGATGAAATAAACAGCAAAGAGAGAAAAGGAGAGTAGGGAAGAAGTCAAAAAGTCTAGGGTACTTGTGTTGAATAATGGTTACAATTGAGTATTACAATTCAGTAGGAAAGAAAGACGAGGTCTAAGTTGAGCTTGTGCACATGCACTCACACATACCCTTCATTCTTTGTTTTTCAGTTGGACTTATCTGTTGTTTGGTTTGTATGCCAAGGCAGTCTATTGTAATCTATCAGTAATATAGCATTGGCCACCCGCTGAGCTGAGATCTACAGTGCAAATATTCTTCAACTTTTAAACAGAAGGTATATGCCCTTACAGACACCCTTCAACATACAAGTTATATTTCAAGAGTTTAGATTGTATATAGATTGCCAGGATAGTCTACAGAATTTATTTGATTGTTAAAAATTAAAAGTAATATAAAACAACATATTTTGTAATCATTAAAATGTATTATTTGAAAAATAATTATATACATGAGGATAATTCAGAAAGCACATAGAAAAGTAGAATTAAAGAATGAGTTTATTTTGGTACAAATAACTATTGAAATTCATGCACAGTTTATTAATAAAATGTATTTCCCATGAACTTTCAAAATAATCCTCATGAATATAAGTATTCTAAATAATTTAAAAACTCAAAATATACTTTCAAAAAATAAATAAAACTAATACCATAACCTTATGACTTGAGATCCAAAGGGAGTGGATAACTTAGAGAGGAACATAGTAAGGAAAGGAAGAAGAGAAAGTAAAACAGTAGAGAAAAATAATAAGTCAAGGAAGAAGAGAAAGTAAAACAGTAGAGAATGAGAAGAAAAGATGATGAATAGAAGTGAGGGGAAGAGACAGAAGCCACCATCAAATTCCATTAGTCCTCTGCTTATGTAAACTCTGGCCTCCTACCCCTTTCAATTTATTCTCTTCCTTCTTGCTGGAGTGATAGAACAAAACAGTCAGTGAAATAATGACACTCTACTGATTAGAAATTATGTTTCATTGTCATTAGAATAAAATTCTAGAGCTTTCAAGATTTGGTATGATTTGGATTCTGCCTATATCAAACTCATGATTCTATTTCTTTCACCCTTGCTAAGGAATCTAGTTTGATTTCAGGTCTTTAAAAACACCAAGTCCCTACTTATAACAATTTTTCTCAATCAGACAAGAATACCGATGGGGAAAAAAAAGCTATTCACATAAACTGCTATCCCCATCCATCCATCAGATCTTAGCTTAAATGTTCTTTATCAATGTCACCTTTATTGACCATCATCTCTACACCTCCAATCTGATTAGGACTTCTTGCTATGCACTCAAAGAATCCTATATTTTATTTTGTGTGCATATAGGAATTACTATTTTAGTGTATATACATATAGCTCCTGTTTCTCCTCTTAAACGGTAGGCTCCATGAAAACAGAAACAGAGCTTTCATTATTCACTGCTGTATTTTCAGCACCCAGCCTACTGCCTTGCTCAAACATTTATATTGAATGAATGAAGAAAGGACAGAATATAGGGACCACAGAAGAGTTATTTACTTCCTATTTTCTGTGTATGAGTCATGAAGTTTCTATTAAGAACTGTAAAATAGGCACTAGGAAGCTGGCATGCATTAAAAATCCTCCCTCCTGAGGTCCTAAGTGCCCTCATGGTACTTTAAATTCTCCTAAATTGGCCCTCATCTCAAATCATTCCTACCACCTAAGTGCTCTATATTCTGAAGTTTTCCTTTCATTCCTTTCTTTCTCCCAGTTATTTATATCACAAATTCCTTACAAAAGCTCCACATTACTTTTTATAGGGCATCTACTTTCTGGATCTTCAGTGATGATGAAATAAGGACAACAGGAAAATGGAGGGGAACAGAAGTCACCTGAAGGGCATTTGTTTATATTGGTTAATGTTTTGTTCATTGGCAGCCTCCAAGACTATTATTACTGGAGACCAGATGTTGACAAGCCTTTTCTGTAAAAAGCCAAATACTAAACATTTTCAGCTTTGCAGGCTATACATTCTCTTACACAACTACTCAGTTCTGCTGTTGTAATGGGAAAACAATCATAGCCTATACCTAAACAAATAGGTGTGACTACGCTTCAGTGAAATTTTATTTACAAAAACAACAGAATTTGTTCCACAGGCTATTGTTTCTTCACTCCTGTATATAAATAGTCATTGGCCAGAGCTGGTGCTCGTCACCATGTAATAGACTTGCGACATTCCTCAGATTACATGATACCATCTGAGGAAGAAAATTTTCTTAGTAGCAAGGTCTGATGGAATATAAGACACTTAGAACACAGCTGTCAGGGGCTAGCAGGTGGTGTAGTGGTTAAGGCAGCTGGATTATACATGGCTCGTGGCTGAGTTATAGTCCTGGTGGCTTGAAAAACATTCACTGTGCATGTGCTTCTGTGCCCAAAATCCCAAGAGGAGAATGGAGGAGAAGGAATTAAGGCATGGTCATCTCCCCTGGGGAGTGTGTTCTCATTCCCCCCCCTCCATCTCTGTCTCCAGCAAACACTCACACACACACACACACACATACACACAAACACACACACAGAACAAAAAACTTTCTAAGAGCAAAAAATAAAACAATGAAACACAGCCATCAAGACTTTCTGCCCATCTGACACCAGTATTATAAATGAGTAGTGTGTGACTGGGGGGTCAATTCATTTGTACCATTTCAAATCCTGACATTTCTACAGTGAGTGTAATTACAAGTAACACAG